TCTCCAGTGAGTGTACACGCCCTCTAACAAATGAAAAAAAAATTTTTTTTTGTTCGAGTAGTGGAACAATGCTCTCCCCACCCCCACCCCATTCCACCTAAATCCTTTCAAAAGGTCTGTTACATGTAACAGCCGGTTTCACGGGACTTGGGGACTGAATGTGGAGCTGCTGTTGAGTAGTCACTAGGGCTCTTGTGAATACTCTGGTTCCCCACTTTCTTAGACAGGCAGGACTGTATGTTTCAGACCCCCTGAATTTGGGCATGGCCATGTCACTTGCTCTGTCCAGTGAAATATGAGCAGACCTGTCATCTATCATTTGTCACTTGCTTTTCCCCTGCCAAATGCCCGGTGAATTTCTTGATGGTAGACGACCCATTCACCTGTGTCTCTGACTCTTAAGTCTTAAGTGAGGATTTTGGGGAGCAAAGTATTTAGCAGCATGCACAATGAACAGTGTGTGAGTGAGTGAAAAAAAATTTAAAAAAGTCCCTTGTTGTTCTAAGCTACTAAAATGTGGGGGTTGTTTGTTACTGTGGCACGATCTAGCCCACGCTGACAGATACACGTGGTAACATCTCTGGGGTACAGGGCAGTAATGACGGAGTGAAAACAGCTGCTGTCGGAAGGGCTGTGATAGATCTGGAGAGGAGAGTAGGCAAGCAGGAGGCGGCCATGGGAATCCCCAGGAGCACATGCGCAGGGGGCAGAGTAAATGTGGGCCCAAGAGCTTGAGGCCATGCAGGTGCCACTGTCGGTCCCCACATGCTCTTTGCAATCCAGCCCATCTTCTCTGTGGGGAAGGAGAGAGTTGTGGTGGGGCAGGCACAGGCCAAGAATGTGGGTCAGTGTAGGAGGTGAGTGGTTAGGTAAGTCCCTTTGTCCCTCTGGACCTCAGTGTCTTTGGACACCTCCTGTCTCTGGCATCCTGAGACCCTGGGTTTTGGTCACTGGTCAGTGGGGTGGCTGATGGCCCACCCGGTTCTCAGGTACTCTGTGGTACTGTCTCAGATGGTGCTGAGCTCTGTTTCTACCTGTCTGGGGCCCCTTCAGAGCTAACAGGTGCCCTCTGACACACAGGGCATGTGGGTGTATGTGTGTGTGGGGGTGGGTGAGAGGGGGAGAGAGAGAGAGACAGAGAAAGGCAGAAAGACACCCTATAGCCAGAAAGCTTCACCAAGATGCCCTGGTCTTTCTCTTAAAGTCTTCTTTAAATGAATATTTTGCCCTGGAGGGTAATGCACTCAGTTGGAAGCATTGCCCCAAATTCCAACCACTTGGGTCACAGCTGTCAATCTGCCATGCACACACGCATGCACACACACACACACACACACACACACACACACGTTTCTGCTCCTCAGCACAACAGGGGATTCTGTCCTTTGCACCTACCCCCTCTGCCTACAAACTTCTGAATCCCATCATGGCCATAGGTGACAGGAACCCACAGCCTTCTGGACTGTAAATCGACTCACGAAGCATTGCCCCAAATTCCAACCACTTGGGTCACAGCTGTCAATCTGCCATGCACACACGCACGCACACACACACACACACACACACACACACACGTTTCTGCTCCTCAGCACAACAGGGGATTCTGTCCTTTGCACCTACCCCCTCTGCCTACAAACTTCTGAATCCCATCATGGCCATAGGTGACAGGAACCCACAGCCTTCTGGACTGTAAATCGACTCACTTCTTGGCCTAGGTTCACACTGCATGCCCCAGTACTGCACACTGATCACACCACCACAGACAGACCCCAGAGATCGGAACCTTCACATCCCCCGTGTGGACCACAGAGACATCTGATCGTTCGCCAAGACCTTACTGAGCACCTGCTGCATGCCAGGCCGAAGGGAAGGAGTGATCAAGGACGCAGCCCTGTGTGGAAGGGATTCCTGCCAGGCCCGATGGGGACAGCACACGTGGAGTCAGCTCTAACGTGGTGTGGAAGCCCCATGGGAGCAGCCAGCAGGGAGAATGCTCCCAGCCAAGAGTCCTGGAGGAGGGGTGTCTGTGCTTGGCTGGGTTTCACCAGGTGGGAAGTGTGGGGATGACAGGGCTGTTCCCAGCGGGAGCAACAGCACGTGCAGCAGTCAGGAGGTGGGGTGCTGCACAGCTACGAGGCCCCGGCTGGGGCTCGGGGTTACCCAGAGGAGGAGTGGGGGAGAGGAGGTCAGTGGACAGGTGGCCCTCAGTCTTCAGGGAGTGTGAGTGATGACACCAAGACCTCCCGACTATGCGGCTAATGATCTGGAATTGGAGTCAGACTCCAGGCTGGGACAGGTCCCAGGGGTTGTCACCAGAGCAGGATTGATCCCAGGATGAACCAGGTGGGTTGGGGAGGGGACAGCCTTGGGCTGGGCTCCAGAAGCCTTGTGGGCAGAAACTACAGGTAGAGTGGTTAGACTGGCAGGTAGAGAGGAGACTGGGTTCCACTCCAGTCCAGCCCTGCTGCTTCCCCACTGTGTGAGCCTGGGTAGGTGACTCGAGTTCTCTGAGCCTGCTTCCTCCTGCGAAATGCAGGCGATCGACCCCGTGGGGATCATTCAGTGGGTCGAGGAAGCGTGTCTGAAGGTGTCTGCTGCAGGGCCGGAAGAGGTGTGTGGAATCTGGAATGTTTGTTGCACTGGAAGTTCCAAGTTGATGTTACTGTTAGTCCAGAGCTTTGTTGCTACAGGCTCAGGGAGCATTGGGGGATTTAGACCTTTGAATATTCTGGGCAGAGCTGGCTTTGTGGGTGTGCTGGGGTCCCACACTTAGAAGGCCCTACACTTGGACTTCAAGTTCTGTGGGTGCCATCCCCAAGTTCTTAGTTTTCTCTCTAAATTGCGTTTTGTAGGAGAGATCCGATGGGACCACAGAGCACACCCTGGAGGCTTGGAGCCTTGAGCTCATGTGTGTCCCACCTCCTGGTCCTCCTGGATGGACTCTTGCCTGCCTTTTCCCCCACAGTGTGGTGCCTGAGCCAGCAGCTGGGTTGAGTCAGCATAGGAGACTCGAGTTCTAGCCTCTGTGGGGACCTCGGGCCGGGTGCAGGCTGGGATCCAGTGGGCATCCTGTGGTGACAGGCATCCTGCACCAGGTGCCTCGGAGCACCCTGCGGTGGCTGTGCAGGGGCCTCTCGCCCCCCTCAGTCTGCTCCTCCTGGTGGAGATGTCAGGGGCCTTGGAGGTTGAGGTGGGTATTGCCCACCCACCAGGGTTGAGGCACTGGGCCGTGGGAAGAGGAGACTGACTTCCCTGACCCGGGCCTGGGCGTTGAGTTTTCTCCTTGCATCAGGCCCTGTGAATCACATAGCCGACAAATGTCAGGAATCTGTGGCTCCGGGAGTCCTCTCCCCAGCTCAGAGGCCATGGTCATATGTGGTGCAACCAGAAGGCTCTGAGCACACTGGGGAGAGGGGCGAGACGCGGTCAGATCATTCTGTGGTGGGGACAGCTGGCGAGACCCTCAGAGCCTGAGAGCCCGTGCTCCCCGAGCCTTCACAGAAACGGAATCTCCTGGGGTGCTGCCGAAATGCAGGTTCCCACTTGGGAGGTCTGGCTGGCCCTGAGCGTCTGCTTTTTTTTTTTTTTTTTTCTGTTTTGGTACTATTTTTTACTATCAGGCACATGCACTTGTTGGGGTGGGAGAGAAGAGAGAGAGAGAGTAAGAAATCACCCCTGGGGGGTGGCCACATCACAATCCCTTCTCCATTCTCCTCTCGAGATTCTGGGGGCGTGTGTACACATGCACATGCACACTCACTCACACACACGCGCACGTGCACACCTGGCATGTCCCTCACGCTGCTGGTTCTGAGACTCGACCTGAGCTCCTAGTGAATTGATACCGCTGCTTCCTAGACCCCCCTCGAGTAGCCAGGCCTGAGAAAGCGCCCTGCGGCCTCCGGAAGCCTGCCTGGTGAGCTCCTGTGGCAGTTCTCATCCGATATCAGAGGGCTGCTCTGAGCTGAGCGAGAAGCCCACGCCCCAGTGACCTCCCCGCGATTCCACGAATGCTTGTGACGTGGTCATGGACTCAGAAACTGGGAACTCGCCCATCAGTAACCTTACTCAGTCCTCATGGCTTCGTCCCGTTTTACAGATAAAGACAATGGGGAAAAGTGCTGGTGAGAGGCAGAGGTGGGGTCTGAACCCCATCTGATCCTAGGACTGCCCCCCTCTGTCACTATGGCCACGTTTTAAATTCGGAGGTTGGCAGAGCTGTGGCTGGGGGCTAGCCCCCTGCCTGTCACATGGACCCTGATCCTGGGACCTGAGGTGTCGTGTCTGGGGCCTGGCCCCGAGCAGCCTCCAATGCGCCCCCAGCCTGCAGTCACCTCTGCCTTCAGCCGCTCGATCTCGATCTCCCCGTCCTCGATCTGCTGCCGCAGCTGCTTGGCCACTGTCTTCTCGGTTTCCACGATCTGCAGCAGGTGCAGGTACTTCTGCATCAGCGCTTCGTGCTCTGTGGCCAGGGTCCTGTAACTGTGGACAGATGGACAGACAGACATGGCAGGTGAGACACTGCCTCCGTGTGCCCTGGAGATCCAGCACTGCACGGACCAGAAGCAGAGCTCACATACCTACTGTCACTGACTGAGCAGAAGGCGCCGCCTTCTAGAGCTGGTGCCTGGGCCTTGACCTCGTTGTCATGGCTGCTACTGGACACTCCTGCTTCTCCCCAGACCCTCAGTCCAACCTCTACCTCCCCCCACACACGTCCCCTCCACCTGGGGCTTTGCAGGGGTAGCTCACCTATCTGGAGCTTGCCTTCCCCTCCTTCTCCCCTGGACCAGTTCTGCTCTCATTCTTAGACTAGTTGTGGGGCCCTGTTAAAATGCCACCTCAAAACATCCTTTCCTGATCGACCCCAGAGCACTCTGGGCTTCCGACACCGCAGCAGTGGCCACACCACTAGAGGGCGGGGGCCATGTCTATGCTGCTGGTCCCTGTGGCCGGGGCCTAGCATGGTGTCTGGCTAGGGAAGAGGCTCAGGGAAGGCTTTGCTGTGGACGGATAGCTGGGTAGATGCTGTGTCAGCCCCTCGGGTGCACAGAGGAGCGTCACCTTGTTGGGGACCTGGGCACAGTACACCTGACTGCTGTATAAGAGGGTAGGGCGGGCACAGGGAGCTCACATGTGCCTGGTCCCTGATGTGGCAGAGGGCACTTTACAGAGGAGATGCTGACACCGGCTGTACCCTGAGGGGTGGGAGAGCCTGGCAGGGCAGAGCTGAGGGAGGGTGGGCTGGGGCCAGCTGGGGCAAAGGCAGGGCAGGGGTATGAGTGAGAAGCCAGGCATATGCAGACTCAGGAAGCAGAGCCAGGCAGGGTGTACCCTCTTTTAGAAGGGAAATGTCATTTTTTATGTTAAAGAGGAGAGGCTCGTTTGATGTGCAATACTGTCTGGGGGTTTTATTCTTCTCTTATGAAAATGAATGTCGTGTTTAAAAATTTTTTTTTCAGCTCCCCAAGAGACTTAATTTTAAGTCTTTACTTGCAAAGGAAGTTTGGCTGTGAGCAGGAGCCTGTTTTCACCCACCACTCCTCCCCTACCCTCCACAATCCCCTTACTAATAGCATCGCCCAGTCTCCTCTGCAGTGTGGCTGCCAGCCTCTTTCCTCTGCACCTTCCCTCCCTCCCTTCTTCCTCCCTTCCTTATTCTCTCCCTTGTCCCTCTTCTCTTTCTTTCCTCCTATTCTTTTTCTATTGTCTTTCTCCCTTTCTCCTCTTCCCTTTCTCCCTTCCCCCTTTATTTCCTCTTCTTCCTCCCTCTCTTCCTTCCTCCTTCCCTCTCTCCCTCCCAACTAAATAAGTTCACCCGAGCATCTCCTTGTTCAGGCACTGTGTCTCCCACTCACAGACTCTCGGTGTTAGAAAGGAACCCAGGACTCACGAAAGGCCAACTGTCTTAAATGAAGTAAAACCAAGGTCCAGAGAGGGGCAGCGACTTGCCCTAAACCACGGTCCATCAGCCTCCGAGCTGGAGCTAGATCCCAGCACCACCCCGACCCCTGTGAGTGCTCACACTCTCCTGCTGTCGGTCCAGCCTGGCTCCTGCTTCTCCTCACTGAATCGCAGGCCGCACAATACACTCAGTGTTGTATTTTGTGCATTGCTGTGTACACACACAGACCACGGGGACATCCCATAATACGGGGCTGCCATCCATACAGCAGGAGGGGACACTGCGTCTCTGTGATATTAATACACTGCAGTGCTTTTTCTGTGTATAGAATGTATCTATTGCATCTATGTAAATAAAAACTAAATGGGGAACATGTAAAAATACCCAGTCCTCAATATAGCTGTGGAAGAGAGCCAGTTTCTACACACACACACGCACACACACACACACACGCACAACGTATGAGGTTTGAGGTTAAACAAAACTTGTAGTTTCGATTTTCCCTTGAGTCATAGAGGCAGCTCCCCATGTCAGAGAGCGATGGCTCATGGGGGCCAGGTTTGCCCAGCGAGCTCAGCACAGCCAGCATGGCCAATGATGACTGTTCTGGGAAAGGCGACTCAGTTTCCCATACCTGTGACCATTGCTGCGGTCCCTCACCCCCTCCTGCTCGTCACACACAGGCTGAATGGAGGCGTTTCTCTGAGGCCCGTGGCTTTGCTGTCCCTGGGAGAACCCTTGTGCTACGTCCGTTCTCCCTCCCAGAACTGTGCACAGGACCCGACTTCATTAGCTTATTTGTGACAACCTGGTCCCCATAGCAGACTGGACACTCCTTGAGGACAGACATGGAGGTCAGATGGCCTGATCTCAAGGTCATTGCTAGGGTCGTAGTGAGAGTTTCGGATCAGTCGGGCTGATCGGAAGCTCAAGGAAGGGCCCTGGGACTCATCTACCCATCCGTCCATCTGTCATCCACATAGACACGCAGTGCTCATCCATTTATTACCCATCTGTCCCCATCTGTCTGCGCGTGAACTCGACATCCACCCATGCATCCGTCTTGCATCCACTTATCCCTGCATTCTCCCGTCCCATATTTGCTGGATGCCTTGTCTCTGCCTTTATTAGCCCCGAGAAGGGAAAGAATCACATCTGGTCTCTGCCCTGAAGAGCTCCCATTCGATAGGAGGTTGACGCCGTTATCTACTGAGCCAGAAAGATCTACTGCCCAGAGCCTGGGTCTGGGTGCAGCTGTCCTGAAGAGACCCAGCTCTGCCTGGGACTGTGAAATCTGGGGTCACAGCCCAGCCCACAACCACCTTGTACCCCTGGGACCCAAGCAGGACTCATTCTGGCTAGGAGCCCCATTTTCTCTGTGGCATATATTGCACTTTGACCTTTCGCCTCACCTGGCCCAGCCGGTCTCCCTCCAGAGAAGAGCATGTCCTGCCGGGGAGTCTAGAACCCCTGAATGTCAAGGTTCAGCTTCAGAGGATTCTAGTCTATAGATGAGAAAACCGAGGCCCAGAGAGCAAATAAAGCTAGCTCACGGTCATGCAGCAAATTACTTGCTGTGTCTGGGTTAAAACCCTGGAGGCCTTAAACTTTGGTACCAAAAAAAAAACAAAACAAAAACAAACAAAAGCCAAAAAACACCCTTCAATGAAGCCGTATCGTACTTGGTTCCCCTAACATAGGAAAAGAATCCGTGAGGTTGGAGCAGGTTGGGAGGCGGCAGTGCTGTTCCTGAGGACCTTGCCTTCTCTGTGCCACCCCCGGGAGGCACACTTTGGAGCTTTGATTCTAAGTGTGGATGGACCCAGCCCAGAGATGCTTCTTGGCAGCTTTCATTCCTCGTCCTCTTTCTTCTCCATGCCCAACTCTTTCTAAGTCTTGGGTTTGCTCGAGAATATGGCCCTCAGGGCTGGTCATTTCTTCCTGGACTGTAGGGCAGGGGTTGTGGGGGACACATACCTGGCATGAGCGATGGCTGCCACCCACTCGTCACAGTCCTTTGCATCCTCTGTCCTCAGCTCCAAGGCTTTCTGGTTCTCGTGGCTGAAGTTCACCGTGAAGTAGTGCTGCACCGAGAGAGGACATCTCCGGTTACCAGGGTCCAGCAGGCAGTGTCTCCCACTACCTGTCTAGCTGTTTCACAAAACTCTCGTGGCTGCAACAGCGAGGTGCAGATTCTTATTTGTGATTGTTGGAATGCCATTCTAGCGAGCAGTTTCAAACTCTCAACTGAAACAAGCTTTTGTATGGTGAAATGGAACCTATGCTTAGGATATTGTAACAGGGAAGAAAACCCACAAAGCCCTATTTGCCAACAAATAGCAAAAAAGCCAGTTTGAAACCATCAAGCACTCCGGAGAGAAGACAGGGAAAACACACCGAGAATATTCCCTTTGGGAGCTCGACACCAATTCAATGCAGCCTGCATTTAATTCGCTCCCCGAAATTGACTAAGCACTCTTCTTGGCCTGGGGTTGCAGCAATGAGTGAGCAGACACTGTCCCTGTGAGGGGGCCCGCTGGACTCCTGGGTGCAGGAGACTAGCTGAGAGCTGGCTCAGTCGTGGGGCCTGCCCCCAAAGGGCCTAGGGGAGCAAGAGGAGCCAGACAATAGACATGCAGCTGCAGGACTGTCACACAAGCTGAGCACCCGGAAAGCTCTTAGAACAATGCCTGGCACCTAGCAAGCACCGTGTAAGGTCTGCTCTAATTAATGCGGCGTGAGAGCCACTGTAGGGGTGGTGAGGAAGAAGGGCTGTGGGGGCACAGAGGAGGCCCCCGCTGACTTAGCAGGGAGGGCTGCCAGGGAGGGGATGCTTACGTCAGTGGGGTGGACGGAGGGCAGGTTTGGGAGCAGGATGGAGGCCATGTGGTATGGCCAGAGCCGAGGGAACAGGACCACCTCTTGGCGGGTGCTTGGAGCTGGGGCTGGGCAGGTGGGCAGTGCAGGGAGGGCATGAGGGGAAAGCCTCACATTCCTGGTGTGAGCAATCGAGTGCTTGTGGATTCCAGAGACTAGGTCGGGGGTCTAGGGCCAGGGTGGGAGCAGGGTGAGGACATGTGGGTCGTGAGGGCTGAGAGCTCTAACACACAGTGTACAGGGAGCCCACCTGCAGAGGCCTCCTGGGTGTAGTGCTGGAGAAGCTGGAAGGAGCGAGGCAGGCCAGGTGCAGAAGGGGCCCTCAGGCCTGCCGTTTGGGTGACACACACTGTGAGGGGGGAGCTGTCCCTCCAGCGCCAGGTAGCAGGAACAGCAGCACAAGGAGTGGCGTGGCAGCTAATTTTAGCTTCTGCTGACATTTACTGTATTTCTGTTAATTGTCGGTCCTGGTGGCAGCCAGGGCATGTGCGTGGACGTGTGTGTGTGTTGTTGCATGGTCAATGTCTCTCGTTTGTTTCCTAGGAAACCGATAACTGGGGCTGTAGAATGAAATGTCAGCTATAGCCTCAAATAACTGAATTCAGGAGGCTGCAGTGGGCACCCGCCTTCCCCTGAGAAGGAAGCAGGTTAAGGGACCAGCAGTTAGTGCAATGGCTATGTCGCTGGGCTCCCATGTAGTCGACAGCAGTTCAAGTCCTGGACCCGGTGGCTTAAAACTCACGCTGGGCGCATGTGCGTGTGTGCCCAAGATCCCGAGAGGAGAATGGAGGAGAAGGGATTGCAGTGTGGCCATCCCCCCTGGGGGGTGATTTCTTGCTTTCTGTCTCTGTCTGTCTGTCTGGCGAGCGCACACGCCCTATAGCAAAAAACCTCCAAGAGGAAGCAGTTTAAAAAGTCAACTGCAGGTGGCTACCTAGCACTCTCCCGTCTACTGGGAGATGATGAGCACACAAACGTGCATTCTCACAGTCTCTCGGTTACCAAATGGAACAGGTATTATCTGTTTAACAGCAGGCGAACCTGAAGCTCAGAGAAGTTGAGTTACTTGCCTAAGGCCACACAGCTTGGAAGCAGAGAAGCCTCCCATCCGCTCAGGGCTTGGGGTTGGCCCTGAGATGCAGAGGAAAAGTGCAGGGTCCCTACCTGGAGTAGCCTGCAGGTGACAAGGCATGGGTTTCTAACCTAGAAGCATAGCCATGCTGCTAGGCCCTCTCAGAGCCCCAGGGGATGTGCCAGTGGTGGGTGGCCCTGTTAGTGGGACCAGCACAGAGGTGGTATCTTTTTCTGCTGGGACCCACTCTGGAGAGGGACTGGGGTTGACAGGAGCCCCTCAGCCAGCCCCTCAGAGCTGCAGGGTGACAGCCCAGCTGAGGCTCCTCGTCCTAGGGTGGCTTCTTTCCCTTTGTCCCTGCTTAGTGGGAAGCAGGGCTCCCTGCCACGCTATGTGCTGTAGTCCCCCACAACCTGACTGCGAGGAATGAGCCGGAAGGCTGCCCAGGCCTGCACCCAGCCATAGGAGACCTCTGACTTTGGACGGGTGACCGCACTCGGCGCTCTGCCCCTTCAGCCACGCGCCCCCTGGAGGCTGCACAAAGTTCGCTGTGGGTATCAGAGGCTTCCTCCACCCAGTCAGGCGGCACCAACCTGAGAGGTGAGCCCACCTGCAGTGCGTCTCACCTCTGTGAGCCTTGCCCAGTCCTACCCCTACTCTAGGCTGGCCCCTTGACCCTTCTCCTGGGCTCTGTTCACAGTCTGCAAGTAGATGACCTAGACCCCAAGTGACCAATGGGCTGGAAGTTCGGGTGAAGTGGCCTCTGGTGGAGAAGTGGCATGGGCCCTGAAGGGCAGGTATGACCCAGAAGCTTCCCTGGGTCTTGTAACGAGCCGGCTCCAGACACCAGGGCAAGCTTTGGGAACTGTCAGAGACAGCTCAGTGTCTGAGCCTGTGGGCCTGTGGGCCCGGCAGCTGCAGGAGCCCCTGCCTTCAGGTGAAGGGGGGACTGAAGGCCCCACTCTACACCAGGCAGCCTGGGGCAGTTCCCAGAGCGCACTACCTCCTGGGAGACCGCCGCCTCGGAGTTACGGCCACTATCCCTGCGCAGCGAGGGAGGCGGGACGGGACACAGGCGGTTCAAGGCCGGCCAGTGAAATGGCCTCACCGAAGCCAGAACCCAGGGCTGCTCTGGCCCGAGGGGGCTTTGCTGCGATGTAAGAGCCTTCCCCGACAGCTGCTCCGTACAGCTACGCTGCCTGCCTGCCTAGCAGCAAGCGTATACCGGGGGTAAGCAAGCCTCCACCCAGCAGGTCTGAGTCATCACGAATCCCGACTTCGGCCAACCAAGTGAATGAGACGATGCTCCGCGTGGGTATCCGAGACAGAGACGGAGATGGAGACTGGTGGAGGTGGGTGGGAAGAAAAGCGCACACAGCTACGGGGACAGAGGCAGCAGGCTCCACCGCGGAAGAACGGAGCCCCCATGTGAAGAGAGGAGGGCGAGCTCCTGGCTCCCGGCGCTCAGAGGAATGGGTTTTGGAGAGCTGGAAGTGACTGAGTGGAAAGGTCAGATTCCCAAACCCGCGTGCAAAACCACCACTAAGAGCGCGATGATACGGGAGCGGCAATCTCAGGAGGCCCTACTGTGTGTGCACTATGCTGGGGCATCCATGTGTCTCCGGGGGAGCCCAACCACCATGGAGGTGGAGTGACCCTGGTTTCACAGAGGGGGCTGAGGCTTGGAGAGGGTTCGGGGTGCCTCCAGGTCAGGGGCCCAGACCTCCCGTGGTACCCGCTGTTCTCTGTGCGGTGGTGGACGAGCACTCCCTGAGCACGAACTGGGGCAAGTGACCTGCCGGGCCGAGGACAAGCACTGGAAATCTGGGGTCCGTTTTGTAGTAGCCCAGAATGTGGCCCGGTGCCAGTCAGTCTCCTCGTCACCCTCAGTCCCCTCATCTGGGAACTGGGGAACAAGTTGGAGGAGCCGGGCTATAAGCTTTCTTTTCTTTTTTCTTTTATTTTTTTTTAATTGGTAGAGAGTACATGTGCTTGCAGGGAGAGACAGGGGGAGAAAGTATGCTGCAATGGGGTGTGGCCATGCCACAGTCCCTTCTCCATCTCTCCTTCCTTTTGGGGTTTTGGGCATGCACGCATATAGGCCCAGCCTGTTTCTCAAGCCACTAGGTCTAGGATTCAAACCATGAGGTCAGCCATGCAGGATCCGGAGTCTAGGGTCCATCCCTGACCTTCCTTTACTCAACAAGGGGCCATCCCTCTAGGCCTCGCCTTCCTTCCACCTACTGTCCTCTGGCCCCTTTTTCCACCTCCCACAGTTAGGACCCCCAGGGAAGCCACGCTGACCTCTGGCCCCTGCAGGCCACCCCAAGAGATCTTCTGAGCTCTCGCAGCTTCCGCAGTGCAGTGCATGCCTATCATGGCGCCTCCCTCATGGCTGCACCGCCCTGGGGCCTGTGGAGCTTCATTAGGTACCTGTTCCCCAAACGAGCCTGCCTGGTGGAAATGCTGGCTGCTGCGGGCCCCAGTGTATTCCCTCCCTCCCCGATCCATCTACCTCCACCTCACCTGAGGTGACTTCACACTGGCCAGGCCCACTTCAGGACCTCCTCCCCTGCCCTGGTTATTACACCAGGACCACTGCATTGAACCCCAGCCAAGCGCCTGCCTTGGTTCTCCTGTCCAGACCCTGGTCTCCCGTGGGGTCTGCATCCGAGGCCAGAACTAAAACCTGCAGCCAGAGACTGGTCTCAGGATATTAGGCTACTTGCTCACCTGTCTCCCTCCTGGCCATCCTGGAGTGGGGACGAAGTAGGTAGAGGGGACCTAGGGTGGGACTGCAGTGTCAGGACTGAAGCGTCCGTGAAAACCTGCTCTTTCAGAAGTAGCCTCAAACTAAGCCATGCTTGCCCCAAGTCCCGGGGCCTGTGTGGGACAGCCTTCTCTGTTTCTGCCCGCAGAATGGTCTGTGCTTCCATATATATTACTCCAGCCCTGGGAACCATGGCCACAGATGAAACGGGGCCTGCTGGCTGTCACACTTGGCTGGTCCTCTGCAGAAACCTTTCAATCTATCATGACATCTCAGCTAGTGAGCTCTTCAGCCTCTCCCCAACTGCCTCTCCGGATGTTTGCTAAGCAAAGACGTGAACTTCAGTTTGAATGTGGGACTTTCTC